AGGAATCTGGCACCCGTGTTGCATTGTACACTTCAAACCAGTCAGTGTAGTTGGAGACTCCACAGCATCTGAACTGGAAAAAGAAGAATCGAGATGATGCCCTAAGTATGATCTGTCACTGACTTCTTTTCATTTTGACTTGTGCCTCCTGGAGTTGGACATTCAGTACATTCCAGTTAGACCAACAGAGGCTTGATATTTTAAAGAAATGCAGTATTTCCTCAGCTTTACCCAAATAGACCCTTTCCCCCACTCTTTTATATGTTTAAATATGGCCCTGTATGTAGGTAATGTTGATAGAAAAAGGAAAGGCACCTATTTGTAGTGGCAGGACCCTGCAGGAGCTGAAGCAGGACAATCCCAGCCAAGTACCGAAGTTAAGAGTTGATGTGACTGAGCAGGATTATGACAAGCATTTGCAGCTTGTTGTCAGGAAAAAAATAAGATACAAATACAGGACCAAGGAGATAAGAGATACTGGGAACTCTGTGGTGTACTACTTCTGAAACTATCATTAGAGGTAACAAGGCAAATTTCTCTCTAAGCTTTTAATTACTGATCACCTTTAAAAATCTTTGTCAGTCAGTAAAAGATGTATTTCCTCCTCTTCCCTCTTTGGTGCAGTTCCTTAATGTCATCATCTGATGCTGCTAAATAGTGGTGCTGTAAGTGTCTGCATTATGTCTGTATATGAAAAAATCGTGTACAAGGACTATGTCAGTGCTAAATGGGAAGACTGGTTTGACTTTGGTAGTGCGATGAAAAGTATAGGAAATGTACACAACAGAGCAGGGAATGGCTCTGTGACCATCTTCCCCTTCTGGCAATTGGCATATATTTCTGTGATACAAAATAAGCTAAGACTCATTACCATAGAGATGTATACACCATCTGTTACTCCTGTGCTAATTCAGAAGTATGCATTTGTCAGTACTTAGACAGTTTACCACTAATGACCAAAACAAGATGACACTGGACTGTAGAACTGCTCTTTGCTACTGGAAGTACTTCACACTTTTTCAGGGCTACACCAGCCACCTACTTAGCCCCAAAATGACTTGCCAAGTTCTTATTTTTTATGTGATTTTATGTAAGCCTGTTCAGTATTTTTCACATCCCTATAGAGAGCATTTCTTTTGTTTCTGATAGGCTCATGTTCACACAAATGTCTGCTTCACCAGGATGAAGGACCTAATTCAGATACTGACATCTACACTCGCCTGAGGGAGAGTTTCCCCAGTAAATATGATCGTTTTAGTAGGCGCAGGGGGCTGAGTGTTCAGGTCTTGTTGCACACACAAGATCTGCAACTCAAAACCAACAGAGGGCAGAAGTGTCCTGCACTGCCTTGCGCATCACATGCTGCTCCAAGCACTCGCAGAAAGTAGTTCCCGATAGAGATGTTTCGGTGCTTACAGCACTGTTTTTCTTCTGACAAGCAAGAGTCAGAAATCTTTTCCCAACTAACATCTATCTCCTGAAGTTTCTGTTCAGAATTCTGATTTGGTCCATGGCAGAAATCGGTGATTAACTTGCAACTATTTGATTTATAAGTTTACAGGCTTCTTTTTCTACAAACTGACTTGAATGTAAAAGAAGTTTGTGACTTTCTTATTTTTACTTTATGTTCCTGCACACAAGACAGGAGCTGCATTCCTAACAGGTCCCAAAAGTGGATAGCAACAGCATGGAACACATGGCATGCTTTTGAGAAAAGCTGGTTTATCTGGAAAGCGAACAAGAAGGTTTTAAAGGCTGTCATTCTGAGAGTCAAGGCAGCTCTTTGATAGACAGCAAGAAGTGACAGCTTATAAACAGCAAGCCTTGAAAATGTGGTTCATCTGTGATGCAGAATGCAACAGTACATACTGAGGCATTAGGGTGATGCTCTGGCCAAACCTAAGTGATATGAGTTTGCATAAACTGGGATTAGACCCCTTCTCCCCATAATACAGCATGGCTGAGGGTGTCAAAGTCTGACAGACTAAGGAGATGAAGTACAAGTTTTGTAGTTAAGGGTTTACTAACAGCATTGAGGACAGTTGTTCCTATGGAGCTTGTGAAGCAGAATGTGGCTAGGCCATCATCTAGGGTTGGGACTCCAAAGACTAAAAGCCAGAAGGTGGAAATAGGAGGGGATGCAGTTGCAAACACAAGGTGCAGTTGGACAAACATTGCCTGCCCACTCAGATCCTCTGTGTTTTGTACCAAGAGCAGAGGATTCAATATTGATACTTACTTGCCACTGCTGGCAGACAGAGCAAACCCAGCAATGGGAGAAAGGGCTAAGAAAAGATCAAGGGGGAAAAAAATGAAGTAGCATGAGGATCAGTAGTCTTGGGACTAGGAGAAATAATGTCTGGACCTGTAACTGGAGAAGCTGTCATGCCTTTGGAAGACACAGGAAGGATAAGTGGTGGAATTAAGCAGCAGATGATGCACACTCCTAAAGGAGATGAGGTGACAAACACAGAAGAGTACTAACACCACAGAGAGCACACAAGCAAGTGAGCAAGCAGTGTTCAATGAAGACGAAGTCAGATGAACAACATCTCTACGGAGCAGAGGCACTGACCCATGGCAGTGGGTCAAAGAGGCAAGAACAAGGAAAAAAGCAGCAGTGGGATTTAATGGATCACCAGTATATTCAGCACAGAGTTAGAGCTAGAAGCCAAAATTATGGACAAGCTGAGAGCTCAGTAAATTCAGATACTTCACTATGGAGACCCAGGTAGAGAAGAGAAAGTGCAGGAATTATTTTGGATCATGTGACAAGCAACTGATTTATCCTGTGTGCATGAAGCTGAATGGTAAGTAGCCAAATTGTTGGGGGAGATGAGGACTATTAGAAGAAAGGGGAATATTTAGGACAAGAGCAAAACAAGAGGATCCTTTAGAGTCCTCTTAGATTTGAGAGCAATGGTCTGTTTTAACAATTTGCAAAGTTTCTGAACAAGGATAGCTGGGCACAGCCCTACACTTGGAGGATGGAAAAGTGTCGGGTCACATGAAGGAAAATTTCTGTCACCAGCAGTGTGTTGTGTGACTTGGACACCTCAGGCCACTTCATTCTAGGGCTTGTAGCTTGTTGTAAAAGAGCATGCACAGTTACATGTGATTGTCCCTGCTCAAATGAATAAACACGGGTAGTTATGGCATAAGGTGACTATCAGGTAGTAGCTCTGTGGACATTGACACAGTGTTTGGCAGAGTTGCTCAAACAAGCAAAAGCTTGTAAAATGCCTCTGATTATCTAAGCTCCTGTTGCTGAACATTTTCAGGGATGCTGACAATACACTGCTGTATGTTTTATGTGGGAGGTTCTGTCCCCTGAGATGTCAAAACACATTTTTTCATTCCTTTGTTAAACAGACACAAATCACTCCCCTACCGATTATCTGTGGGGTTCTGAAGCGAGCTCAGGACACTCAGAGGCTGCTCAACACCACAATTCACCAAAGGTCATGCTACTGAGGAGTTTTTCCCAGCCAAGCAGCACAAAACAGTGCTGAGGTCTCTCTGCTGTATTTAAGGAACACAATGCTGCTTGCAAATAGCTTTATTATTGTGTTAACAAGTAATTGCTGCTCTAGAACAGGGTATCTAGGGCTGGTAACTGATGCTAAACACAAAATTTCTACCTTAGTGCAGTAGAAATGTAAGGAGTTGGATTCTTGTATGTATTTTACAGGCAATCCCAGTATTGAAGGATAAGTAGACCTTATTTTATTTGCCAAATTCCTGCAAAATCAGCCAGGCTGGGACAGGGTTAACAGACACCCGATCTTTGTTGCAGACAGATTTTAGTGATTACGGGTTCTCCAGTTTTGTGAATGTGACAGAGAACTAGGGACAGGGTAGGGTGCCTTTTTAATGCCTTTTTCCTCCATCACTGTAAAATGTGGTAAATAAGACAGTTTTATTCTAAAATCATGTTTAATGGGGGAGCTGGAGCTGCTGCAGTAATCCTAAAGTATGGTTTGATCTAACAGAACCAGTGACTGAGGTAGAGGGATATGAGTCAAATTTTGTTCTCAGTTACAGTGGTCTAAATAAATATGAAAGTCATCACACAGCAGTAAAAGTGAGCCAAACTTTCTCACTTCAGTGAAGCTAATGTGTTTTCTCCCTGCCTTTCAAATTACTGTCTAGTTAGTTAAAAGAAGTGTTCAAATATTGGTCACAAAAAAGTTGGGGATGAAACGACATTTTAAAAATTAATGCCTATTTCTCGTTTCCCAGTGATCTCCACCTGTAACTTTAACCAGTCCTGGTTGGTGGTTCAGGGTAACTTACATCCTAAACTATTAGAATTTTAGTAATGTTTAAAATCACTTTGTATACTTTTTTAGTCTTCAGTCATGACACAAAAGCCACCTGCTTGTGTTTCTGATCCTTTTAAGGTTTGAAATGCCATTGAGAAAGGCTGTGAATTTGGTTAGCTGAAGATATTAAAAAGAAATCAATAAAAAGCTCTAATTTGAAATGGTTCCCTGAGCCAGAGGGGCTAGTGTTTTCCTCTATCACACGTTTCATGTATGCAGCTCAACTCAGCTCCTTTAGTGCTAATCTGCACATATCAGTCACAGACCAAAACCACAACTTCCTCCTGAAAGATGGATCTGATGGACTCTTGTTTTTTTCTTGTTCCCACTTAGTTAGGAATTGTATGCTTCTGTTAAAAAGCAGAAAACCATTTCCCAAGATGCTAAGGCTTCAGAGATGAAAGGAATCTCAAGGAAGAAATACAGTAAATCAACACTCAAAAGTCCTGTGTGCACACTGGGTATCCATACTCTTAGTTAAAACTCCCCTCTGATTTTTGATCAGCCAGTTCCACTAAAATGAAATATGTGGTTCTGTTTCTGGGACAAAAATATTCCAAAACTGCCATACACAGCTGTATTTAGGATGGTCTCTATCTAAGCTAATAGTATGAGAAATGAGAAATGAGGAGCTGTGCCAGAGCTAATATCCCTCATGTCTACTTTAAGTACAGTGCCATCCTTCTGCTCAAGCTCTGTGAAATGCTTCTGGTAAGAAAGGAGTGTGAATACAGAGAGGGCAAGGGAGAAGGACTCCTGATTTCTGCTACTGTTTTTTACATCGTGCTTTTTTCTGAGGCTGCTGTTTTTCATCCATGTACAGACATGGCCCATAGCTCAACCTGATGTCTACTGGGCATATTAGAAAAGTCATGGCTGAGACATTGTCCTATGTGGCAAAGCATGAAGGTTTTTTGAGAGCTGTCTCTTAGCTAGAATGCAAACAGCAAGCCTGGGCTGGAATTCCCTTTCAGAAAGTCCCCTGCCTTGCCCTAATCCTCCTATCAGTGATTACACACTACTGATTAGGGATGTAAGAGATAACAATTATTACTGAACATAAAAAAAACCAAAACAACAACTTGGCATTTGCATAGTGCTATTCAACTGCTAAGTGTTTTACATAATTAACCATGCTGGGATTGTCTTCACTGCACCACTGCAATCATCTATTCCTAAATAGATTTGAAAGATACATGTGAAAACCAATTATGCAGTGTGGTAAAAATGGATCTGTGGGAGCTCTGCTTTTCTCCTCAGTGCCGAGCACAGGGATCACAGAGACCATAGCACTATGGCACTGTCAAGAGAATGCATGATAATTTTATAGTTGCCCTGTTAGAAGAGAGAGTGGTGTAAAATGACTATATATGGCTTGTGAGATGACACTTTCCTATTATTTTTTGGGGTCCTAAGAATTAGCCTATAGGCCAAAGGAATCATTAAGAAAATTGAGCATGATCTGTAGCACTACAGAGACCATTGAGTCCTGCCTCAAACCCAAGCTTGTCACTGAACAAGACTATTTCTTTTAGTCAAAAAAATCCTGTCTTGACTTCAAAGACTCCACCATCCTACTGTATAATGCATCCTCTTATCACATACCTGTATCTTCAGTCTTTAACTCTTAGATAAATTATAGTGCCCTTTTCTTTCAAAAGCCTTTTCTCTCCCTACTTTCTAAGGAAATAATATAATTCCTTCATCTTTTTCTGGTTACTTAAAGCTTTTAAAATTTCCTGTCTATCTCCTTCACTCTCTACACTGCACAATATGATATTTAGCCATCAACACAATACAATTTTTAAAAAGCAGTTATCCTGGTTAAAGGAGAAACAAATAAAAAATACCATTTGTTACAAAAAACAAGTTCAGTCGCTAAGGTTCTTACTGAGTAGGAGGAAGAGATTGGCTTGGGATATGGAGGTTTAATTATGTTCAAACCCAGAACATGCTGTTACAGAACCCAGAGGGTAAAGAGGAAGGAAAAAAATGCTCAGACTTACATCTGTTTGAATGATGCTCCATGCATTCGTTAGGCCAATATTTCCATCTGTCCCATACAAATGAAGCCCTTTCTTCAAATCCTGCTGAGCATACTTGTCAATCTAAAACCAAGAACAAAAGACAAACGTCAGAAGTTGCTGAGTAACTCAGTTCAGAATCAAAGTGCACAAAGTAAGGAGATGCTGGACAACAGTCCTATACTGAAATGAATAAGAAATTAACCAACATTCTCTAAAGCCATCAGTTAGGATGGAAGAGCACAGTTGTGTTGCTAGTCTGAGGGAGGCTTTGAAATTTAGTTGGTGTCCTACAGAGGTAGTGAGGTAAACGAACTGTTGAAAAACTAATTCTTAGGAACGGCCAGCAGAGAAGAGGAACAGCATAGTTGAGGGCAGGTGAGAACAGCAGATCTATTTGGAATATTAATCTATCACAACTGAGAAAATCTGCTCTATTTGAAACTCTAGACATGATTCCTACTGGCTTTGAGCAGAGAGGGGTAAGAAAAAGCTGGCAAATAGTCATTCTTGTTTCCTGATAACCTCAATTTTGTTTCTTCCTCAAAATATTTTTAGAATAGCAGGAACTATTTAGCATGCTTTTATTCTAATTGTATATTTGATTTAAATGAAAACTCATGAAACACCTCCAGCTGCCTATTCTGCCTTTGAGTTTTTCAGAAAATTATCTTTCTGAAAAGGAATTGCTGCACCACAGTGATTCATCCTGTCTCCTGACAAATTATCTCACCCAGCATTCACCAATCTGTCAGCTTCTTGTGTTTGTCTCTGTATTACCAGTCCTCAGCTAGGCAAAAAGTCCATTGCAAAACAGGGACTGTAAGAACTGTATTGAATATTCTGCAATTGGAATCTGCTGTGTTGTCCCATATGCAAGCCCAGCCCCTCACAAAGCACAACTCTATCTAGTGAAGGAGCACAATGAAGCATAATAAAAACTTGCAGCAGGCAAACCATTACTTTAAATGAAATGCCTATTGTCAGTCATCTGGAATACTGGAGATTTCCTTAGCAGAAAGAGATTCTGAAAGGTTAGGCAGTAAGAACCTTTTATCAATCTGGAAGTGAAGCAGAGAAAAATTCTTTTCCTCCTTGGGATTCATTGGTCAACAGATGAGAAGTGTAAGATTCCAGCTAGCATCACATCTGTGTACATTCCTATGACTTCTGGCTTCAGACATTGGAGGCTTGCTTATGCTTATCAGTGCCATCAGAGTTCAGTAGAGTTTCTACTAACATAAGTAAAATGAGTCCTATTGCTTACGTCTATCCACTACAATCCATGACTGCAAGAGAACCAGTTCTTAGGGTGGGGCATGCATATTTCTAGCACTTTATCTAAGTGTTCCCACTCAAACAAGCACAAATAGTTTCTCACTGATTTCCACTAATTTGGATCTTAAATCTCTCATTGTCTTACTACAAAGTTTCCAAAAAACGTACTAATCTAAGGTAGACAAGTTGTGCAGAGTTTCAGGCAACAAAGGAAACTCAACATTTGAACTTGAGAAGAGAAAGCTACAAGAGGTGCAGCAGGACTGGAGAAAAACTGCCACAGAGGTCAGGAGAAGTGGCTGGAAGCAGCTGATGCAGTGAGAGAGAAAGGGCAGGGACCTATCTGTGCCTTAGCTGTGACAAAACATCCCTTAAAAAAATCTTACTTAAACCTGCATTTAAATTCAAGCCAAATTAAAAAGTGGTTCCTTCTTAATCTGTATTCCCTTGGGACAGCTACTTTAGCAATTTATATGTTTTATTGTTGGCTTTGTCCCCTCATTGCCTCAGAAATCTAGAGCCCCCAAGCAGAATTGTGACTGGCTGAATCACAAGCCCAGTTGCAGAAGCCAGAAATCCTTCAAGAGGACTAAGAGCTGTCAGACTTCACCATACCTCCTTGAATGAGATAACCAAGAAATAATTGAGGCAGAGATAAAAACTGTGTACAGCACCAATAACAAAAAACGCTACTTCGCACAGACACACTGACAGCACTACATAAAAATTCTGTGCTGCAAAAACCCAGAAAGGCTCATAATAATTTCTATCTCTCTATTACAGATGGGGGATTGCAGCAGTCTTCTCAGTTCCTCGAGATGGTTTGACAGATCTCTCACCTCTGCCTGAATGAAAGGCTTTGGAGTTTATCTGCTTACTGTTAAGACATGAAACGGAAGACAAGTACTGCTCCCTGAGAAGCCCAGTCCTGTCATTTTGCTGCTAATAAGGAAGTGCTTTGGAGCAAAACTTCTTAGGCAAACAAGGAAGTTGAATCTGTGCAGAACAAAAGTATTACCAATATCTACTTTTATTAAACCGAAGCTATACAAATTCCCAATTGCAAGGCTTTCGTCAGCATCTCCCCCTGCATCCTCACAGCCAAACTCAAGAAGTGTGTATTGGATGATAGGGCAGTGAGTTGGACTGGGAATTGGTTGAAGGAGAGTTGTGGTAAGTGGAGCAGAGTCTAGTTGGAGATCTAGTGGAGAGTTGGGCAGAGAGAAATTTAATGAAATTCAACAAGCGCAAGTGTAAAGTCCTACGTTTGGGGAGGAGTAATCCCATGTATCAGTACATCTTAGGGGCTGACCTGCTGGAGAGCAGCTCTGGGGAAAAGGACCTCAGGGTCCTGGCAGACAACAGGCTGACCATGAGCCAACAACGTGCCCTTATGGCCAAGAAGGCCAACGGCATCCTGGGGTGCATTAAAAATAATGTGGTCAGTAGGTCAAGGGAGGTTCTCTTTTCCCTCTGTTCTGCCCTAGTGAGGCCCCATCTGGAGTCCTGCGTCCAATTCTGGGCTACCCAGTTCACAGATGGTAAGAAACTGCTGGAAAGAGTCCAGTGCAGGGCCACAAAGCTGATTAAAGGAATAAAATATCTGCCCTATGAGGAAAGCCTGAAAGCTGGGTCTGTTTAGCCTGGAGAAGACAGAGAAGGGATCTCATAAACACTTCTAAATATCTAAAGGGCAGATGTCAGGAGGATGGGTCCAGCCTCTTTTCGGCAGTGTCCCATGACAAGGGGCAATGGGCACAAGCTGAAGCATAGGAGGTTCAAGTTAAACATAAGGAAAAACTTACTGTAAGAGTAGGAGAGCACTGGAACAGGCTGCCCAGAGAGGTTGTGGAGTCTCCTTCTCTGGAGGCATTCAGAACCTGTCTGGACATGTTCCAGTGTGATCTACTGTAGGTGATCCTGCTCTAGCAGGAGGGTTTGTCTACAGGATCTTTAGAGGTCCCTTCCAACCCTGACTACTCTGTGACTCTGTAAATACCAGCTCCTCAGCTAGTAGAAATCTGCCTGGCTCCACTAAGATAGATGGAGTTGCTTACATTTCTAGCAACTTGGCCTCATCACATGGTGTCTCCAGTGGCTCAAAACTGTGTTTCTATTAGTGTACATGCAAGCTTGTAAACCATTCCCCCTCCAAAACCTTTCTGACACTATGGAGTTTCGACCTTCAGCAATTAGAATTTCTAATTCTCAGGTACACTTTTCAGTGGAGACATTATAAATAAAATGTCTTGGAAAGCTAGTATATAAAAAAAGCAAAATACATTAATAACTGTATTAAATGCCTCTATTGTTTTTAATGAAATAGACAGTTGCAGCTCTTAACTGCACTTCATCAAAAAGAGTCACTATAAATGAATGAACTATATGGAGATTGCTTTCCATAGTAACAGAAAATAAGGAAATAAACAAACTGCCAGTTACAACACGTATTACACAAAATGCAAGTTTCCAACACCCTCTCTACTTCTAATAAGATCAGAAAAAGCTGTATTTCTCACTGGAAGTCACACAGCTTGAATGGAGAAGGAAAAATAGTAGTTTCTCCATATATTGAACAGAAATAAATGACAGTACCTTTAGGTACCTTGAGGTGCTGGAGAACTGCAATATTTCCATACACAATGGAATTATACAAGATGGTTTTTCACATAAAAAGTGGCATTTACCAGGTGAGAAGCAGACACTCTGCTAAATGGCAGTGATGTTTGTTGAAAGAAGAAACTGGAAATCTTGAAGGAAGGTTCACCTCAAACTGCTCCTGCACCTAGAGCCCTTTTGTATCCCAGAACATGCACATCCCAGCTGCCAAACCCAGCTGCAAACTGGCAAGAGGCTTGACTCCCCTTCCAGACCCCAGCAGCACTGCCACTCTGTGGCAGATGCAGTGTTTCAAACCATGCAGAGCACATACCAACTTCTTCTGGAATTGTATTGTCATGTAAATGGTGACACACAGCCTGTATATCTAGATATCAGTGGCCATCTACTCCCCATTGACAATTAGTGGAGACAGGAGAGACCAATGAGTCTCAGTTCTTCAATTATGTGGTAGTCTCAAATGAAGGGAAAAGACACGCAGGGGTGGCAACTGGAAAAGTCAACAAAAGTCAGCATAAAAAATGCACATACTATTAATGTGAGCAGCAACCCAACAGTTTGAGCTACCCAATAAAAACCAACATATTAGTAAGCACTTGAAGATCACATGCCACATGTAGCCCTGGACTAGATGTAAGCAGGTTCCCCAGTGAAAGGGGACCATCCCTTCTAGAAATGGCATCAAGGAATCCATGCAGACTGAAAACTGTCAATGATGACCTAGTATATTCAGAAACAGGCTCTGCCAGAAGGGTAAGTTAGGCCTCAGAGAGGAGCAGAAACCAAAGTGAAAGGTTAGATCTGCCACATACAACAATGGTCTCAGGAACACCTCTGATGATGGTTCTCAGCTGCCTCCGGCTTATTTTGTATTTATTGCTTATGCTTTTACATTTCAAAATGAGTCCCTCTTTCCTAATCAAGAGACTGACTTTTTGCCAAAGAGAAGCACTGATCCCAAGTCTCCCCTCAAAGCAACAAATTGTCTTTTCCCTCTCATCCCCTTTGGATTCTCTGATGTCTAATAATACTGGTTGAGGAAGCTCGGAGACCTCGGAAGCTCGGAGATCTGCATCTCTCCATCTATCTAAACTTACTGCTTTTGACCTCTAAAGAGCTCAAATTTGTCTGAAATTTGCTATCAGGTTTATGGGGGCATATGAGAAAGAAAAGTCAATGCAGCCACA